CCTGGCCCCACGCAGTAGAGGCGATTGGAAAGGCAGATCCAGCTTTGTTGGCGGAAGGGGGGCGGGGGACAGGGTTCCCCGCGAAATGGGAGAGCTCCTCCTTGGATCGAATGGCGTGGGCGGCGACGACCTCCACCCGATCGCCGGTATAACGAACGCACAGATCCCGCAGCGTAGTCAGCAAGGCAGCGTCGTCAAGCTGGGCCTGGCGGAGGCGCTCCTCCTCCGCGGCGGCAGCAAGGGCTGCGGGATCGGCCGGGGGTTGGGGAGGGGCCCGTTCAGCTCGGAGAGCTTGAAGTTCGGCTTCGAGTTGGGCCAAACGAGCAGCAGGATCGCCCATCAAGGGGGCGCACCACAGACCAGCGGGGTCTGGATTGCTATCACGACTTCAGATCATGATCGATGGCTTTCCTTAGCTAGGAAACCGAGCAGAGAGCTCGGAGGAGAGCGCTTGACGCGTGAGTGCGAGGCGAAAAACGAGATAGCCACACACTCGTTTCGCCAACCTTTAGTCCCAAGTTCCCCGTTTGCACGGATCGAGTTGAAACAGCGTTCCCAGCCGTGCAAACCGTGCTCAGTTCGGTTTCCTGGACTTTATCACCAACCGCGCCCTGCGACAAGGGTCGCTGCCCATAAGCTAGCCACAACTTTAAGAGTTGCGCCAAACACTTTCTCACTGAGCCAGTCAAAGTCGGTTTGCGTAGAGGCAGCGCCAATCACACCGAATCCAAGTGTGTCCACAACGGAACTCCCATTGGCCGACCAAAGTTCCCTCCCAACGGCCCTAATCCCGATTTAAATATATTCACTCCATTTCATTCCGTCAATTCCGCATAAAATTACTGGCTGCACCAAATCGGTGACTGCTTGCACCAAGTCACGTGCACATCATATCCAACTCCATCCAAACTAACCTAACCTAAAACCTAAACACTAAAACCTAAACATAAACCTGTCCTAACCCTAACCCTAACCCTAAAACTCACCCTGAAACTAAACCTAAGTTAGGTTTAGGGTTAAACCCTAAAATTGAGGTTAGGACAAAGTGTGCACGTGACTTGGTGCAAGCAGTCACCGATTTGGCGCAGGCAGTAATATTATTTCGTTGGCTCCTGGGGCTGGGCTGTCGGCACGGATGGCAGTGGGTCGTAACGTAACATTTGGCCATTTTATGCGGAGCAAGAATAAAAAAACGGTGCCTCCACTCTCTCCAACACCGGCAACACTGAGCACACCTCGCCCTCAACAAGGGCAACGACGCCGCCCAGCAAAAGATCGTCTTATGGATGCTTCAGCGCATGTAGCTGCCGCTCTCCAGACTCCCTGAGTCTGAATGTACTGCCTTTAATTTGAATGCAGCTGTGTACTTAAAGGCTTTAAGTACACAGGACCCATTTTTACGCACTTTTACGGCTATTTACGGGTGAAAATATAAAAACCTTTTAAGACGTATATAGCCATAAATACAAAAGTGTTTATGCCGTAAATACCAAGCCTCTGTCTTGAGAAGGATGTGACAGCTCCAAAAGGCTGACATGACGCGCGAAAAGGAAGAAAAAGAATTACAACTTTCCTGATTAGGCTTGGAGTGCTCACGAGGCATTGAAGGCAATATTATGTTTGCCATACGCATGGCAGCGTGGGCACAAATTATGTCTGACATGTATTGCATTGCGATGAAATTATCCTCAAAGAACCAGTTGTTGACGAGGAGCTTACGTTCCCAAAGCGATTCCTGATTCTGCTTATGTTGAACCCCGCAAGCCCTGATGACCAGCAGAATTTGTGTATGTGGGCCGCAGCGGAAGATGAAACGATGCAAGGGCAGTATACAACAGCCGTAGATGGTCACATATCCATAGTCGCTACATCCAATCCCTGTTGATGACGCGACGGCCATCCCACATGTCAATGGTCTCCACGGGAACCATGCACAACCCTCTCCCACGCTCATGGGCAGCTGGTCCACGTCGACAGCCTCAGCTCCACTCTCTTTGAGAGTGCGCTGAACGATCAAGAAGTCTCCCCTTGTGCGGATTGGCTCCTCACGAAATGCCGCTTGTCACAATGACGATCTTCGCCGAAAATTGGCAAGGGAATGGCAGCAGATGGATGTCTCGAATGGGCAGCAGATGACCGACCGCCGGCCAACGCACGCAACTGCCCTTGCAGAAAGGCTTGCAACTGCCGTCCAGAGCTCCACAATCAATCGCAGCAGCTCCTCAAATTGTCGGTGAAGTCAAAAATGTCGTTCAGGTCCACGGGCCAGGTCGGCCCCGTCTACAATTCGGCAGCCCATGGTGCAGCAGGGCTTCCTTCCGCCTTGCCACGGCTGTGCAGCGACGATGATTGGCCAATTTTGGACGGCAGCAAGACCGCACTCGATGTGCTGGTCGCGAACGGCAAGGAAGCGGCTCAGGAACGGCCCAGAGTGGCCACGACCTTCGAGAAGGTCGGGCGCTACTGCGCTCAGGCCATGGCGCACGTGGCACGCACAGCCACGAGACTCAGGCAGCCAGGCCGCATGCTTAGACCGCCGCGCGATGCACAGAGAAACACGCGCAGTCGTTGTTACTGCTTCCATGCTGAAGTCAACAATGCATCGTCCCTTTCTTCGCTCTTCGCGCCCTCCGCACTGGTATCCGCCCAAGGCGTCTGACACCTCACCCTATAGCCCCTTTATGTGAAAGAATCTTTTGATTCCCCGGAATCCTCCTATCACACCATCGCATCGCAGCAATTCGGTCCTGTACACCCCTTTTCTTGCGGTCAGCAGCCACAGCATTCCCCGCGGGTCATATTCCCATCACACAGTCACGTGGCGCCTCCACACGCCCCTCTCCATCGCCTCCTTCTCATCGCGTTTCGCGGCACCAGGACGCCACCCCCCTCCCATCATAAACGTGGCTCCCGCTCATAAATTACAGAGGTCGGCCAAATCGTGGCCAAACGCGATCTACTAATGCATTTTCCTAGCAAACGCTTGTTGAAGACTTTTCAATGAAATGGGGATGACACGTTCATGTTGCAGAAATGACTTACAGCCGATTCATATTTTCAAATCCAAATTCACATCAGCCTTCACAGCACTAATTTGCTGAATGTATGCCCCTCTGCTTGATGAGTTTGGGTTGGCCCCGCCTTACTATGCACCAAGCTGTTGAGTGATGGTCATATTAGTGAAGGCGCTGAGGCTGCCGACACTCGGTCTCCCCACTTCTGGACCTCATGATGTCCCGTCATCACGGTCGCCCACTGAGTAGCATACCAATATATACTTTTTTTCTGATGAGCCCCATTATTGGCGACCCGAACATTCAATAGAAATCGGGCATGGAGCTCCCAGGAGTTGGCTACATGTATCATCTTTGAGAATTATTTTCGAAACCCTGCGAGGATTCATGTGCGCCTATATAGCCGATATATCAGACCAACAAAATGAGCGAAAGTGCAGAAGACAACATCTTTGCTGAATGCTGACAACTGGATTTATAACTAATTTTTGTGGATGTTCAGGGCATTGGATGAATGCGGGATGCTCAGGCCTTGGGAGATTCAGGAGGCAGCAGCGCATGGTAACGCACAAGGTTGAGTGAACAAAAAATTTCAGGTTTGACTGCCATCCACACTCCCGAGCCTCATCACTAGCTAGTGAGGTTAGCCAGTACTGGCTAACAGGGTTGTAATTTGGGATGAGACGACCCAAGAGGCTGCAACCACGCGCGGCCATGGTGCCACCGATCGCACAGGCATCGGAATGGGAACCCACTCTCTTCCACTTCTACCCGCTCCAGCTTCGTTTCTTGCTGGAAGCTTCCTGATTTGACACAAAGGGCACGGCTGAGCTGAAAATGGACGCCGAGTAGGGTACATCCTGTGGGTGGCTGATTGGGTGGGGAGCAATGAGGACGGCGGTGGGTATATTGAATTGCAGGGGCGCATATTCTGGTGCAACACATTATAGAGCTCATGCCGCAGGAGATCTATGCCGATCCTCGAGTCGTTCTCTTGGACACTAGATCGCAGCGAGGCTGCGGCTGCGAAATGCAGTCCACAGCTCGATTGACGTTGAGTTACGGCGTTCTTGATCAGCAACAACATCTCGCCTGTTTCAGACAGTACCCAAGTTGCTTAAAAACGAAATGCGATCACATCTCAAGCCATCGTTGTTAATGATCATTTCGGGCTTCCGCCGCGCCTGCAACCTGTCTCAATTCACGGCGGCACACCGGGCTGCAAATGACTTGAACCGCTGAAGAAAAAACACAGCATCCCGTGGCGTTTCATGCAACGCACATGGCCATTCGGGCAAGTAGCTCACCCTTGGGAGACAAATCCCCATGTGCGAGAGACTCCACTGCAGCTCACTCGCCCTTCTCCTGCTATATCTATTCCATGGTACAATTCTCTTCCGTAAGAAAAGAATAAGGCATCCACGCCATCAGCCACTGCCCCTCGAAACCTATCTAGGAGTCCTTAGTATCTCGCGATGGTCTACCCTAATCCCCTGAGGCCCTGGGTACCCAGCGTGGTTTCCAACGCAGGGTTACTGATGACCCGCGGTGGAAACATGCCACAATTGATCTTTTGCACAACACTAATACTGGGTGGGCCGGACCTAGCAGGCCCGAAAGCACGCAATGTCGGGATGAAACGTTCCAGGGATTTCCGAACTGCACAAGGCCGCCTTGGCCACCTTTTCCGAAATATAATGCCACCGCTCCTAGTCCTATGATGTTCCCACAAGAAGGGTCACTCCGCATTTTCACCCCAGTCCCAGCAGCATCCTGACCACGCACTAATACCCAGAAATAATCGCCCTTCAAGTGCTTGTATACAGTAAGTACCTACTACTAAATGTATACACATGTATACAATAAGCACCTACAGCAGTACGTGGCAAAACCCCGTTGCTGCCAGGCTGGACCTATTGCTGCAGATCACAAAACAAAAGCTCACTATACATTCGTCCTCGACCTCAAGCATGTTCCCCTCCAATCCTACAACAACTGAACTTCGACTTTCACTTGCATTCTTCCACCACCCCGCCTCCTGAGTCTGCGTTTGCCAGCCACACCATGCTGTCCTGTATCAGAGATGCACTGCGGACACCTGAATTCCACCTGAGCTTGTTGAGCTGTCTCCTGACACCGGGGTGGGCAGTCTCTGAGTCTCTTGAATGGACAGGACATCCCACTGTACCAATCCTGGGCGACAACGCCTGGTATCCCTTCCCCAGCCACAGCCAGGCATCGCATAGAGCACCATCTGGTGCCCAGAGTACAGAATTCCATCATCTCCAATAACAACCTAAGCACCTGGATTCCGCAGCACCCATCAGTGCCGTCGATCCTGGCTGATGCCCACACAGCCCTGCCACTCAGACTGCTGTTGCACATGGCATACTTCTACAGGCATTCTGCAATTAACATAGCGCAGATACAAAGTAGTCCATCAACTGCATCATTGCACCGAACAGCACCCAGCCGAAGCATTCCTGGCTGGCTCCTGCAGGACCCCTGCGTCTTTCAGTCTCCGCAGCCGCGGAATTACATCTTTCATGGCAGGTCGTTTGTCTGGGTTCTGATGCCAGCATTCTCGGATCAAGTCAGCCAACTCATCAGGCCACTCTTGTGGCATAGGTGGACGCATTCCGTTCACGATGTTTTCTGCGTGTCTCTCAACGTCTTCAGGGCTGCCCGTCGTTGCCACAAACACCAGCAGCACGCTCTTCCGCAGCAACTCGTACATTATTATCGCGAATGAAAAGACGTCCACCTTTTCGTTGTACTTTTCGCAGCGAAAGACCTCAGGCGCCATGTACATCAACGACCCCGTGCGCCCTGTCAGTTCATACTTTGCATCCACAGTGTCCTGTGAGGACAGACAATCCTTCAGAGCTGCCCGATCAAGCTTCCAACTGTAAGCCATTCAAAAGAATGACACAATGTCAGCCCGAATGCAAACTTGACTAACACCACATCTGCCTTAAACAAAAGCTCCTTGTGCGCTGGCCACAGTGGACTCCACATTCATGTCGACTTGCTATCTGCTCCAGACTACCAAACCACAAACTGGATTGCCATACCCATTTGGGGCCTGCAGTTGCATTTCTGGGCCCAACAGTGCTCTCAAAACAGTGTGCCCATCAGGCGATTGTTTGCAGGCAGAATGCGCAGTTGATCGCACAAAGACTCAACGATCATTACCTCGCAACTCAAACAAAGCACAAGCAGTGCTAAGTACCATGCATACGCGCTCACGATGCCATCAACCTGTCTGTTCCTGGGAACCGTTTCTGCGATCATAACTTGAAGCAAATGTTTGAAAGGAAGCTGACCCAAGAACAGAAGACACCTTTCAGGGTGGCAACTATCGCCAAGGAGGGCACCATATCCATCATGCCGATGCTGTCCAACAATTATCATTTCAATAACAAATAAGAATACAAACAATAATCATTACCATAAAGGAAGACTGTCCCAGAATGTGTAATGGACAACCTATGACCAAACCACTTCTGCACTGTCCTTAGCAGGATGTGCCGGTGGCAAGCTGTTCAGGAAGGGAAGACTACAGCATAATCAGCTTGAGAGGGGCAACAGCCCATCGCAGTGATGATTTTGCCCATGTGGCCAGACATGGAGGTAACGGGCTGGAAGCTAAAAAGTTGTGCAGCTTGTGCAACAATGTGTTTGCGCCTTGTCCTCGCCAATTGCCCCGCATCCACACTATAAGTTCCAGATGAAGGAAAGCAAGAAAGGAAGCAAGCATCTTGCAGGGTTCCATAACCAAGTTTCTAAAGTTTCAATGGCAGCACTCACATATTTGCAACACAAGTCCTGGCTCAAATCAGCCTGTTCGTCTATCTGCCCGTCAGCAGAACACAGGCAGCGTTCGCAGCCAGACAAGCTCCCAAGTAGCATGCCAAAGGCGTGCAAGATTTTCAGCTGGTCACTTCAGCTGGGGGTCCCTCAATGAGTACACACCATAGCCCTTCCCCGATTCCAGGAGGGCTGCAATCACCAGCCTGACCCTGAATTCGCTTACCACGCCCTCCCCTGGTTGGGCGACACGGGGCGACTGATCCCACAGCGGTGAATCAGCTCCAGCAACTCAAATCAGATTTCGGGCACATGTGACGGAAACAGCCCAGCGCCCAGCTGGCCCAACGCCCTCGGACGCAACCAATCATCACATCCCAACTGAGTCAGTTGGGCAACTTGGTTTCCGCCAAACGGCCGAGATGTGCTTTAACATCCCCCGCCCGTCCTGAACACTGCGGGTGAAAATTCGTGCGTGGCCCCACCTTGGCAAGGACCTTTGACGACACCCTCTTCAGCGCCGGCTGCTTCTTGGTCGAGAACGTGGGCATCTTGCTGAAGGTGGCCAGCTTGGGCGGGGTCCCTCCCTCCGCGTCGGCGGCGTGCCTCGTGGTGGCGCCGCCGGGCTGCTTGGTGAGCACGGAAAGTCCGAAGTCCGCCAACTTGGCAACCTTGCCCTCAGAAGGGTCGCTCACCGTCAGCAGCACGTTCTCCAGCTTGAGGTCCCTGCGGAGAGCGCAGCCGGCGCCTCACGACCTCCAACCGGCGGCACCAAAAGCTGGCGCGGCGGGGAAAACGCCCGCAGCGGCGTGATGGCCGCCGCAAAACATGCCTCTGGCAACCAATTCGCAATCGCACGAAGAACATCCCAAATGCGGACCCAGAGCCGAGAAATTTCCGACCAAACAAGCGCGCCCGGGCGAAAAGTGGCCAGCGGGGGAGGGGCAGCGGGCAGCGGCCGGCCCACCTGTGCACCACGCCGAGCTCGTGCAGGTGCGCCAGGCCCTCCGCGATCTGAATCAGCCACTCGAAGGCGCCCTCAAAACTATACAGCCGCTTGAACGGCTCCCCCATCTGCCGCATCACCAGTGACTTTATCGTCCCGCCGTTCATGTACTCCTGCACGATGTACATGCCGGTCCCCCGCCTGTCGCCCCCCAGGCCGATAAACTCGGTGATGTACTCATGCCGGATCGTCCGCAGCAGCTTGGCCTCCTCCACGAACTTGTTCAGCTCCCCCTCCTGCTCCAGAAGCTCTGGTTTCAGCCTCTTCACCGCGACCGGCCGGCTCTTCCCGGCCCTGTCCGTGTAGCCGCACAGCTCCACCGTGGCGAACGCCCCCGCGCCTATCTTCTTGCCCGGCATCAGCTGCTCCGGGGGCACGAACATGCTGTCGTCCACGCAGAGCTCCTTGAGGGGCGCCAGCGTGCGCGATCCCTTGCGCTTGAGCTGGCTGCGCATGTTGGTCCACAGCTGCAGGCCGAAGGAGCTCTCGCGTTTGAACGTCTTCGCCTGCCGGTCGCCATCTCCGGCGGCATCTGCGCTCTTCTGCGCTCCTTCTGCACTCAGCGATGCGGTCACCGTCTCCGACATTTTCAAGGTGTTTTCCGCGCAAGGTTGGCTGACGGAAGCGCGGTGAAGGGAGGAGGGGACAAGAGGGTGGAGGGGGGTGGAGAGCGGCTGTGCCCCCCGCCCAATCGCGGGAAACGGGTCAGGCGGCCTCGCAAGGGGGTCAGTGACAATTTGTCCAAGTGACGTTCTGGACAAGTATCGTAACCTAACCGTATACCGTATATCCTATCACAGCCTGTCAAAGGGGCAGAAAAGTGTACCACGTCACCTCTGGACGCGGCTGACTGAACACGATGCGGTGTGGACTCCGCCTGGTTGGCTTAATCCCCAACCTCCTGGGCGCGAGCAAGGCGGCAGCGGCGCACGGGGTGAGGGGCTGCCCTGCTCTTGTACAGGCTAGCGCAAAGGCCGATCGCGCCGCCTGAAATCGGTGCCTGGCTGGCTGGGCCATCAGACCGACGGGAGATCCCCGCCATCGTTCTTGGGGCCCGCATTTTTCGCGCAGGCGAGGAGAGCGCGACCCTTCTGCGCGGGGCCTCGAGCCCCTTCACTTCGGCGCAGACTTCCCAGCCTGCCCAGCCTACCGCTGGCTATCTTCGCTTGCCGTTGTGGTGCTTGGTGCCAATGCTCATTGGCCGGCGAATTGAACTGCTGCCACGGACCAGATCTCGATGCACAAAACGGGCTCGGTGCCGTTGCACAAAAACGACCTCGCTGGCCAGCGTTTGCGGTTGAAAAAAGAGTGTGCAAGCCCCCCCCCCCCCCCAGGCAGGCTATTGAGTGCCAAAAGTTCCTCTTGCGCGGTGCACCCATCGACCTCGCGCCATGGCCAGATATGTGCGGCCAGCCAGGGTGATGGGAGCAATACGAGGCAGCCTCGTATCTCTTGCAAGGATTCCAGCCGGAAACCGCCCGCAGCCGTGTGTCTAGGTCGTCAGTCAACGGTGCCGCAACCGCAAGAGCTCCCGTTGTCCGCCGCCCTGGTCCGCCCACAAGGTCACTGTGACTTCACGGCGGACCACTCCAACGGCTGCACTTTTTCCTATCACAACGCTGCAACCGACAGTGGCGGCTCCAATACGGGTACGATAACCTGGCCAGAATGTCACTTGGCAAAATTGTCACTGGCCCCTCCCAGGGACCGGTAGGGGGCTCTTAGGCAAAAGATGCGGGGGCGAGATGCCGTGAGGCGGAAGCTGCACCGGACCCCCAGGTCGGACATGGGCGCGGAGGAAAGGTTGACTGGGGCGTCATTATGCCAGCGTTATGCAGGCATGACGTCTGTGGTCCACGGTTGATCTCCACTGGTCGATCTCCTGGTCTCTTGGTCGATATCTTGGTTGGCGTCTGACGTGTGGTTTCCAGGTCGATGTTTGTGAACGGGAAGGGTGCCAGCCGGGAGTGGTACGTGTGCACTGGTCGTGTGGGTCCAAAGCAGGCCTGGGAGAACGGCCAAGCCCCTTTGCGTGGTGCCGGGTCACCGGCATCCGGAGGTCAGATCTTTTGCTTCTGACCTCTGTTCGGGTATTTATATTTGAGGGTCCACCAATGATCGAGCAGTGACTCATTATTTATGTAAAGACTGCAAAGAAGAAAGCATGCAAGGAGGTCTGTCCGACCCGCCCGCCCGCCCCTTTTATGTCACCTTGGTTCAAACAACACATCCGAGTTGGGCAACTCATGACCGAGTGCTTGTCTCCGGGAAAACGCTATTAAAAAGAATGCATGCACACATTCATGCTTGTCCCACCTAATGGGGAAAAAGCACAATACATGTAGCGACAAGTAAAAAGTAATAAACGAGCAAAAGCGCAGCCGCTTTTTGACGCACCAACCTTTGTGTCGACGTCCGCAGCGTTCAATGCCTCGACACAGCGGCTCACCCATGGGTGGTGCTGGCCAGCAAATGTACTGCCGTTGTCATCCGAACATCGGGCGACGTTCCTCCGCACCCCGAGAGTTGCTGCTGTACGTTGGCAGAGAGCAGCACGGGGTCCGCCGCGTGGCGTCTCTCCACCCCAACGATGGCCACACATGCAGCAGCCGCGTTCAAACGGTCGCTACCACCGTGCATACCGTAGTGTATTCAACCCTTCTTCATTCAAAATTTTACCGTTACGCTTTTGCTCCGCCTTTTTTTACAGTGCGTTATTTCATTATTTTACTTTGCTCCGTAAAAATTTTGGAAAGAGCATCATGTATTTATCGTTTTCTATGCAAAAAAGGCTAAGCATTATGTTACTAATAGTAACGCATAGTATGCGGAAGGGTTGAATACATTACAGCAGCGCAATGGCCATTACGCTGGCCAGAACACAAATATTCAGCCGTACTCGGCACATATGTGAAAAGCGTCTGGACCGCCGCGCTCAGGCCTCAGCCCCACAGGTACCCGCCCAAGCTTACACGTTCAGCAGGGCCCCCTGTGGCACTCAACGGGCCGCCCGCACTCGTTTTCGCAGTTCAAACTTGTGGCCAGTTCCCATCGCTGGCCTCGGACAGCTCCGTTCCTCCTCGCCTGGACTTTGCCTCCGCGCACCTCACCATCGACGAGAACGATATCCCCGAATGGATAACGATATGGGATCAGTACCGATGATCGTAGGAGCGATGTCCCCGATCAGGGCGCTATCGTCCCGATCGGGTGCCGATCGCTCGTTCGCGAACAGTCAAGATCACTGCAGTTTGCTATCCCTGTTGGAAGCGCAAGAGCGGCAGTTGTGAAGCGCCGATGGGCGAAGTTGACCGACGGTTCTCAACGCTGAGGACCGCTGAGTGTCTCCAGCGAGCTGCCGTTGAAGGCCGCCGCTGTCTGCGCCTCGCACTGTGCTGCTGCGTGGCACCCACCGCGGCGCTGTGTGCCCAACGCATTGGAGCAATTTGACAACGCAGCGCCTTTACGCTGGCCTACTGACTTTGGGGGGTACATTCGGCCACCTCTGACGTCCACGGCAGAGAGACGCCCTCGGCATTTTTCAACAGGAGAGACGCGCTGATCTCATGTCCTGCAGGTCTGGGATGCGCTTTCAAAGCCTTGCTGCAAGACGAGCCCCAGTTGGGTTATCGTAATATGTTCAACCTTTCTCCATAGCATCCAGGCTTGGTTTTTACGTTTGCGTTTACGTTTTTACGTGCAAGAACATAAATTTGCAAAAGGGACTGTTTTTACGGCTATTTTTACGTTTCTACGGCTCTCTGGGACACCCAGGTTACACGATGAAAGCTGCGTACAATGATCAGTCCTCCGCCATCTCCAGCACCCTCAACACGATGTCCACCTCGCCTTTGGCAAGGGCGATAATGGCATTTAGCACAAACTCGTTTTCTGCCCCTTCCAGAGCGTCTAGCTGCCACTATCCGGACTCCGTATGTCTGTATGTATTGTCCTTATGTACACCGGATAGTTTTTACGTTGTATTTACGTATTTTTACACGTTTTTACGTGTAAAAACGTAAATACGATCAGTTCTTACGGAGCAAACACCAAGCGTGACAGTAACATAACGCTTGGCCTTTTTTGACGAGAAATAACCAAATAAGTAACACTTTTTTTACACCTTTTGCCGAGCCACGTAAAAAAGTACAAATAACGCTCTCAAAAAAATGCGGAGCAAACGCATGACGGTAAAATTTTTGGGGATGCGGAAGGGTTGAATATACAACGGCATGCCAATTTCAACGCGGCTGCACGATGCTGTATACAGTACGGTACATGTACCGTCATGAACGACCCCGCATTCACACTTTTGCCAAAATCGATAAAGGATTCTGCCTTGACCGTCAACGACTCTCGCCCTCACTGGCGATCGGTACATCGTGGCCGCGTGGCAGCAGAACAGCCCATGTTCCCACGGGCAGCTGCAAATGTTGTCACACGCTCCCCGATAATGCAGGTTTCCAATGCAGGGTGTGCGACGACCTGGTCTCTCACGAGAGACAAGACACATGAGAGACTAGACACATGAGAGACTAGACAAATGAGAGACTAGACGCATGAGGGACTAGACACATGAGAGACTAGACACATGAGAGACTAGCCACTTGATCAAGTGTGCGCCTGCACAGGGCGCACACCTCATGTGCGTGCGTGCGACAACATGTGCTGGCAATCTTGCGATTGCAGACTTTTCTATTCCTGCCTCCCTGCGGTGCAAACACAATGTACCGGAGCGGGAGTACTCCCACTAATGGACTACTAATGTACTAGTACTCCCACTAATGGTGGTGGTGGTGGGGGGGGGGCTTGACATATAACTGACAAGCTCAACTTGGGCGCTTCTCACTGTAGTGTGATGCCTCAAATACCCCAATAAATTGTCATGTACAATGGACATTGGTAGGCTCCTTGATCACCCATCGTTGTCCTCTTGCGCCGGCACTGAGCACTCCGTCTTGCCAGTGCCTTCTTGCTGCTAATAAATGGAGGTACAGACAAGATTACACGATCTCTTCCAATTTGTACGCGATTTGACCACAGTTACAAATTGTGTCAAATGGGCAATGTTTTGCCAGTGTTATACATAAACGGGGCCCTGACTTGTGTGTTGCACGCAGTGTGTATGATTAACCACATTCGGTATTTCGTAAATGTTGCTTTCATGAAGGCAATTGCCTTGCAAGGAGTTGGCCGTCAGCTCCCCATTTGCCCCAGAAAATCGGCTTTCTCTCAGTTCCGCAAGGTCCCCAGCCCTTCACTGTCCGTCTGTGTCCGAGGAGCATTCCTGAGGCCAGCCAACTCGAACACGACTTGGGCAATGCAACTGGGGCAGCGAACGTGACCCCAGCCTGCATTCTTCATTGTGTCCCACGAACCGGAAGATATCTCCACAGGCATTGTCCGCCTGCCCAGCCCCTCCAGCCTCCACCGCGGCGGCGTCGACTTCACTATCTGCCCAACTGGTGCTTTGGCCCATGAGTGCCCACAAAGGTCTGGCCCGCCTGCCAGCGTAGTGCTCGCCGCCCGCGCAGTGCTGCTGAGTGCCTGGAATGCTGACTGGCAAGATTGGCTATGCTCCGCTCGGGTTGGACCAAGCCACGCAACGCTCAGGCCGATCGCAGCTTGCGCACCTCAATTTCCAGTGCCTGGCGTGCAAATCTCTCTGGCCAGGATGCCGGGAGCTGGGCGCGCTCCTCTGCCCTTGTGCCGTGGACGATCGCATCCCCGTATCGATTTTTGCGCTGTCCTCGACTCCCGCAGGCCACCTTTAACGTCCGTAATATGGACGGACCCCTCCACGTGAATTTTCCACTTTGTGGCCATACGGGCAGTCTGGGAAGGGTTCCCCGCGCTCACGCGCATTCACTGGAATTTGTGGCGGCCGGGGCGAGGATTTTCGTTCGTAATAGGCGGCTCGCCGGCGCCCTGGCGCACGCGGCCCGACTCCGCGCATCTCTTCCCCCCCCCCTCTTCTGATATGGCTGCTTCCATTGTCGCCAGCCGCCCGCCAACGCCAGCGCGGCGCATCGACCCCATTCCGGTCTGCGCAGTTCCCGTAATGGCAACAGGCGTTGCAAGCTGCACGCGCGCTGCGCAATCTGCAACCCGCTGAGACGACGCTCGCGGCGCCGCCGCATCCGAAAACTGCGCCCTGCTTTTTACCGCGCGTGGCCAAAGGGGCCGCCAACGACCCCAACTTCAAGCCGTTCGCCGTCGCCGTGGCGGCGCTGACCAACACCCCCGGACCACCCAACAATTTGTCACACCCGCCGACAAGAACCAGAGCGTCCGTTTACTGAGGCCCCGCCACCACGCGCACCTTCCCACGAAACTGTCGGACTGCCATGGCACCATGCCTGCGCCTGCCAATCCCCCATGGGCCCCTTACTAACCTACTTGCGTGCATCCGCAGATGGGCCCGCGTGCTGCCGCCACCATCCACTGCCACCGTCTGCCGTCTTCGCCTGCCCGCCGGCGGCCCCCCTCCACCCCCCACCCCAAACTCCCACTTCCCACTCGCGGAAAAAGACATATTCGAAGGGCACCGCCGCTGGGTGCACCGCCCATGGGATAGGCGCGGCGCCTGGCGCGGGCACCGAGACGATTCGGGAACACTGTGCGTTCATCCCTGTCTCCTTTCCACCTTTGTGAGTTGGCATTGTTCGCCCGTTCGCGGCGCGCTCCGGGCGGTTATTGGGGGTTTAGCTATTATTCAGAGGCTCGTTGGGGTCCCAGGTTGCCTGCCCTGCCCTCCGCCCGACCTTGGGCGTCCGCGCATCGCTGCCATCGGCCTCAAGACCCCTCACCCGCCTTGGGGCCATGTCCCCATGGAGGGGGCCAAATAGCCGCGGCGCAGGAAGCGCCGGAGACGTCCAATGCCGGCACTCTCAGCGAAGCGCAGGGCGGCCGATGCCCTGTCGCAGAATCCGTATCTGCCCGTATTGCCGGTTCGCCCGAGCGCCTATGGGGGATTGCGTGACGAGGGGGTTTGTGTCGGGCGGTTTTACACACCATGTGCGACCGGCCCGCGGAATTCGAAGCGATGGGATCCCCGCGAAGGCTTCCTCGTCCTCGGACGTCGGCTGCGCCTGGCACGGAGGTCCGCGTCTGGCGCGCGGTCCTTTTGTCCGGGCCGAATTGCGGTCATATTCACACGGGGTGGTTTGGGGCTCTGTTCGGACGCTGAATTGCTCACACCGGTGCTTGCGCGAGAAGCGTGGCCTGCATGCTGCGCCGAGGTGCCCTGTGGATTGCGCAAGGGGTCGCGACTTCTGGACCCGGCGGTGCAGTTCCGTGGCGTTGCGGGTACGGCCGAAGCGGGGATGGACAGGCGAGCGTGGCGCGAAGCGGGCGCATTTGACGGGGACGACGGGAGCCTTCGCCTCGCGGAGGCGTGCGCCATCTCGTGGCGTGATCAATCGGTGCAGATTCCCGCCAAGGGCTGCCAGACCGCGTTTTGGGGAAACCTGACCCGCCACGAACACGCCCCGCGGAAGCTCGTGAAGGAGTGGGATTGACAACATCCGCGTCGTTCCCCTGATGCGTAGATTTTGCGGTTCGAGGCGATCGCAGAGTTCGACGGCGGCGCAGAGCGTGGACTTCCGGTCAACCTTTGTCGGCTTCCCGGTCGTCTTTCGGGTTTCATGCCGTGCATGAGTTCCGGTGCGGTGCCCGCAGGCCGGGAAGAATTGATCGCCCCCGAGGGTGGCGCCGGGGATCGGAGGGCGGCTGCCAGGGACCTGCCAAGCCCCTTCGCCGAAATTCCGCCTGGAAAAGACGCAGAAGGAAGCAAAGGCCTTGGCGCATTCGTCGGCGGTGACCGGCCAGCATGCTGGGGAGGGTGGTGGACGCCGCGCGCAGGCGTGCGTCGTTCACCACCAGGCGGAAGGAGAAGCGCGGGAAGGCGGAGGGCGTGCCCCACGAGGTGGTGTCCTACGACGACAAGCTGTCCAGAAAGTCCAAGTCCCGGTCGTGCGACGCTCCACCGGTGCCCATCTTCCACCGCCGGGTGTTCTCCCTTCCAGGAGACGCTTTCTACCCGGACCAGCGGCCGGTGTGCGTCCTGCCCAAGGGGGCGTCCTCGGAGCTCATAAGGGGCCTGCAGAGCGGCCACAAGTCGGACCAGAGGCACGCCGTGAGGGTGCTCAGGGACGGCGAGGCGGGCTTGAGGGTGGCATTCGTGGGGGCCGGTGGGGTGCCCGTCTTGATGGAGCACCTGGCGGTGAAGCGGCCGCCCAAGGAGGCGCTGCAGTGCCTGGTGGCCTTCCTACAGGATGCCAAGAGGGAGGTGCACTCACAATTCGTGGAGCATGGGGCGGTTGCAGTCGTGGCCAGGCAGCTCTCGGGCGGCACGCGGTCGTGCAGGAAATGGGCGGCCCGGGCCGTGCCTCAACTCGTGGCCGGCGACCCGGACGCCCAGGGGGAGGTGGCCAGGGCAGGCGGGGTTGAGTCCCTAATGGCGATGCTGCACAGCGCCAAGGAGAAGAGGCGGGAAGCCGCCGCTGCTGCCCTTGCCAGCTTAGTTAAGGACAGCCAGAGCGCGCAGAGGCAGATCGCCCTGCATGACAGGCTGGCCGACCTCAGCACGATGTTGCCCAAGGGGAGGGCAGGGACAAGGTCGATGGTGGCGGCCACCTTGGCGAATGTGATTGCCACGAACCCCGCTTGTCAGGCCAGGGTTGCTGAGTACGGCGGCGAGCACTTGCTGAAGGCAATGAGGGAGGTGGACGAGGGGTTGAGGAGGGAGTCCCTGCGGGCCCTTGCGTACATAACGGCTGTGCCGGAGGGGCAGAGGATTGTGGTTGAGAAGGAGGGGGTCCGGAAACTTCTGGAGCTGATCGACTCGGGGCAGGCCATGCATGAGGAGTGGGCGCTGGAGGTGTTGCTCAATCTGACTGGCAAGGAGGGCCTGACACCTCAATCGGTTTGGGAGGACCTTGTGAACTGCCTGCTGAAAGTGCTGCTGAAGGGCACGGCGGGCTGCCAGGAGAAGAGCCTGAGGGTGTTGGCCCAACTATCCCAACTGAGAAGCTCCAGTGAGTGGCAAGTAGGGGAGGGTCAGCTGATTCCCCTGTCAGTATCCCTTCTGACAAAGCGTAGCATGGCAATTCAGGAGGGGGCAGCTTGTGTGTTGGCGAACATAGCCGATGTACAAGAGAACAGAAGGAAGATTTACGACTCAGGGGCTATCAAGCCACTGGTGGCCATCCTGGGTGGGCAGCACCTGTCCACACGGCAGTGGGCAGGACTCACTTTGTCCAAGCTGGCAAGCTCAGACGATGCTGTGCTGGACATGGTGAATGAGGGTGTGGTGCACACGCTGGTGCAGGTGCTCAGCGAGGGGTCCAGCAGCCGCGAGAAGTGGGCTGTTCAAACACTGAGCACGATCGCAAAGGCGCCTCATCCATGGGTACGGGGCCTGATGTGCAACGCAGGCAGCATCGACGTACTGCTGAGTTTCGTGTCCAGCAGCGCGCCCAATATGCAGCTTGCATCACTGGCTTGCCTTGCCAACTTGGTGGATGGCCACCAAGAGAGTCAGCAAATGGTGCTGGGCGTCGGCATACAGCCGCTGATCCAGCTGCTGCTGCGAGGGGAGCCTGAGCTGCAGGGTGCGGCTGTCCACGTCCTGGCACACTTGTCCCACCTGGAGCCGTGCAAGTGCGACGTGTCAGGGTGGCCGAGCATCCGCGCCTTGGGCAGGCTGCTGCAGGCAGACGAGCCGCTTGTGAGGATGGGCGCTGCTACAGTGCTGGCTGACGTGGCGACCATACGGGGCCCTGCCACTGTCATGCAGAAGATGCACAACATCCTCATCCTGCTGGTGGACATATTGCAGGCCGATATGCGGGAGGCCAGGTGCCAGGCTGCGCGGGCGATCGGTAACCTGGCGATGCATTCACAGGAGGCCAGGAGCCAGTTTGGGGCATGCAGCCAGGTCCTGACTGGCCTGGTGGACGCCCTTGACGAGCCTGGCACCTCTGGCCTCAACACAAGGGCTCAGGCTGCCCATGCCCTCGCCAACCTGATGTTTCAGGAGCCCACATTGCAAACCCGTGTGGCTCAGCTTGGAGTCGTGCGCCCATTGGTGGACATGCTGCATGTTGACAACCATGACTGCAACGTTCAGGCTGCCAAGGCTTTGGCACACCTTGTGGAGGACCACCACGCCAACAACGTGGCTGTGTCACTGGGGGGAGCCATGGATCGCCTTCTGCAGCTGCTGGCGGCCGGCAGCGACGAGGCAAAGTGCCATTCCGCACACGTCATCGCCAACCTCACGCATCACAGCACCAGCAACCAGTTGGCGATTGTGAATGGGCGCGGGGTGCCCAGCCTGGTGAGCCTGCTCAACGGGGACGATGATGTGGCGAGGGGCCACGCCGTGAGGGCCTTTGCTAACCTGGCGTCCAGCAACGAGGTGGCGGTGGTGGATTCGCGGAGGGCTGCGATCGCACCCCTCGTGTCAATAATCAGCTCGTCCAACGACAAGTGCAGGGAGCAAGCTGCACGTGCCTTGGCGAACTTGGCCTGCAGCGGGGATGAACAAGAGTTGATTGCAAAAGAGCAGGGGATACCCCCGCTGGTGCACCTTGTGCGAACGGGCACCCCCCCGGCAAGGGAGCAGGCAGCTCGAGCCCTGGCGAACCTGTCGTGCAAGGATGTCAATCTGCCTGCTATCATCGAGCACGACGGAATCCGTGCACTGGTGTCCTTGCTGAGGTCACCCAACGGGCCATGCAGGAAGCAGGCGGCAGGGGCGCTGGCCAATCTGGCGTGCAATAACTCTGACAATGGCACGGCTGTGGTGGAGGCTGGGGGCGTGCCTGACCTGGTGGAACTCCTGTCGAGTGACTCAGAAGCATGCCGGGAGCAAGCGGTAAGACACGATGGTTTTCTTGAGCATATGGCAGACACAAGTGCACAGCGGCAGCAGGCATGATCACCATTGCCCTGGTCGCAATTGCACGCATGAGGACATATCAGGTTGAGCAGCATGTGGGGCTTTGATCATTCACTCAGTGGCCCTTTCATCCAGTTGTCAATTCCAGCCAGATGGCCATCCTTCCAGAATGCTGGTCACTTTGACCAGGTAGCAATCATGGCAACTTTGTTGCTGCAACAAGCACGCTATCCCACTTTCCGCTCAGGCTGTGACCTTCATAGAATCATTTACCAACAAGAGTCAACTTTTAGGGTGATTGGGTGGTGTTTCGGTGAAGTGCTTGGCAACCATGATGCTGGCGATCGACTTTCAGATCTTACTTCCCCCCTTCCCCCTCCCCCAACCTGTATCTTTTAATATCTGTGCGAGCCTTTGCAGCACCGAGGCGCTCATCGCACAGCCTGAGTGTCGTTCTTTTTGTTATTTGGACGCCCCATCACTGTGCACTTATTCCAGTCCACTTAAAAGACTTCAGCAATGAAGTCTTGCTCATCAAGGGTATTGACCACCTTGTCCAGCAGGGGCTGCTCATCGCATCACATGTATGGCTTCTTATCATACTCAGTATGCAAAGAGCTCAGCATCGTTTGCAAGATTCAAGCACACGATTGTGCTCCACAAAGGTGGATGTGGTCAGAGCAATCAGTGCAGTCAAAGTAGCATAAGGAGTCAAAAGCAGATGCAAGTGTGTGCAATCACAACATGAGATTGGACACTGTCGCAGACTTGCAATTCCATGCAATCTGATTTGTAATTTCAGAATGTTACAGTATGTGTGTTGAAGCCAATGAAGAAAAGAAGGAAAATCTAACTACTGCACCAGCGATACCTTCCTGTGGGAGCACAAGGCCAGATGTTAGTCAATTCTTTTAGCTTCAGAGCCTGTTCATGTTCCCGCTTTTCTGGCAACTTGTGGGCTTCATTAAGTTCTTTGACTTGCAAAGGCGGCGCGGTGTGTTGTAAAAAAGAAAATATGTGTATAATCATGGCAGTACTGATTGCAGTCGCATATTCTGCCTTCCTGACAGGTGAGGGCTGTGGGCAACCTGGCTTGCACTTATGATAATCAGCAGGCCCTCATTCAGGAGGGCGCCGCCAAGCAGCTCATCGCACTGCTGAAACGAATCGAGGAGAGGGAGGGATGCAAACAGCGGGTGGTGCGCGCCCTGGCCAACTTGGCAGCGGACAATGAAGATAATCAGCTGGTGATTATCCGTGAGGGGGCGGTGGAGCCCCTCATGCAGATGCTGTCGAACAGGGACAGTAGATTCCAGGAGGAAACAAAGCGTGCGCTGATGCTGTTGGCTTGTGGAACGGACATCAAGGTGAGGTTCTGATCCCGTTTATTTTACGTACGGAAAGATGAAATTGACATGTGACAGAGGTAGAAGGTAATAAGGATGACAGTACATTGACAACAACATGATGGAAGGTATGGCACACAAAACCCTTTTCCTGAATGGCATGGATGGGCACAGCAAAAGCCCACTCTTTTGCGTTCCGCGCGCAGTGGCAAAATGATGTGCAAGGTGGGTTCAACAATCTTTTGGACGAGCCTGCCACTGGTGGAACATCTGCCAATAAATGCAAAGGAATAGAGGCAGCATAGCAGTCTATATTGCCAAGTTTCCGAATTTTACTGCCCAATTCCCACTTTCACCCCAATTTCAAACTTCTGATAGATTTCGCAGTCGTCCACTTACTTGGGATACCGTCACTTGGTAAATTGTCACAAATGCATGTTGCTGCAGTGCTACGAATTCTTATGTGGCATTGAACAGCCAAACTGCCTGACGGTTGGCTTTGAAGAGCGGTTGACAAAATGCGATTGCATGTTTATGCAGTGCACTTGTGCGTGGTGCTCGTTGTCCTGCTGACACTTCCAACTCCAGTGTTGCATGTCATCATACCCTATGTTCGCATTGCACATCCATTTGCTTCTGCCATGACTGCCTCCCTCGAGGTCACCCCAAAAACGTGACACATCTCCAAAGCTTCCCTTCTCCCGTCCTGTGCCTTTGTGGCCCGCACTCTTTTCTCACCTTGACATGTACAGCTGAGGGAACCATACCCATCATCGCCTTGCAAATGATGAGCACGATCGCACTTTGCAGCCCTTGTCAAGCGGACTGGTTTTGTCCTGTTCCGCAGCTGCAGCCCACCATGGACGATTCAGCAGACGATATCCAGTCCGGCAGGGCAAAGGTAATGGCTGCGGTGCTGGGCGTGCGGCTCAACTTCCGCAACTCGGGCGTCGCCAGGATGCACTTCATGGCGGAGTCTGGCGACAACGAGGGCGTGCCGCGCCAGCTGCTGTGTCCCATCACACACGAGCTCATGGAAGACCCAGTGGTGGCGCACGATGGTCACACATACGAGAAGTCCGCCATCGTGGAGTGGTTCAGGAACAGGAACTCGTCGCCGATGACTAACGAGCAGTTGAAGAGCACCCACGTGGTGCCCAATTTGCTGCTTCACGCGATCATCTCAGACTTCCAAGAGTCCAAGGGGGGGCGGGGGGCGGGGCCGTGAGGGAGATGCCCCTGCACTGCTGAAAAGAGGACGAGGGGGACTTGTATTCTTTTTGATGCATTTCATTCGCCACTATTGTGCGCTTACTGGGGATGCCCTTCGCTCAGATTCATCCTGTGCAGTGGAGTGCATTGCACACCTTTGTGCATTCTTGGTGGCTGCCGCCTCTTGCAAGAGCGGGACAAGGCAAGGGGAATTGGCTGCGCCTGAAGTCTGGGTGCGATGCTTTGGGCTGGAACGCCATTTCCCCATGAATGCACGAAGATGATTCGAATGTGTCGTTGCACCCCCCCTGGTGGGCCAAGGCTAACAGTGGAAATAAGCTTTTTGCTGCAGCGCTGCAGGGGATGCAGTGGAAGATGCCCACGGGAATGCTCGCCCGCCCTGCATATTTTTGAATGCAAATGAACATCTCAGTCTCAATTGAAAGTGTCGCTTTGGTTGAGATACATACTCTTGTACATAGTTGAACTAGTTTATGGCAGGCTGTGCGGTTTTTGAGCAGAGAGAAGGGTGGCAGTGCATCCATGCGAGCTCTGGGCTGTGAGCACACTTCTGAGAGAGGAAAGGAAAATCCGTTTGGCCTATGATGATCGCGAATGGGCTGTTCAAACGTGAATTCTTTTGCTCGATTTGTAATTTTGTAGCTCCGGAAATTGCGGCGGGCTCCCCAATGCGGCCAAGGGGCCAATTGTGCCACTGTGGGCAGCGAACTGGCCAGGCTTTCAGGAAAGTCACGCACCACTGTCCACTAGTGCCCTTGCATGCCAATATTGGGGTGTTGCAGCCTCAAGAGGGCAATGGCTTATGACATCACAACCATGCTGTCCGCCAGTGTTGGGTATTTCACCCCAGTTTCAGATTCTGGGGCTTCTAAATGCTCGCCATCGCTCACAAAAGCGGCCTGTTTTTGTTTTTGCACGCTGCGCACCGTTATCAGACGATGGCTGGCCGCGATTGGTGGCCAGCACTGCGACGCGCATGCGGGACTCCCGGACTCGACCTTGCACCTTGCAAGGGATGGTTTGGGCGAAGCCCAATAGCCAGCGTGCCTGCATTTGTGCATTGCCGTGAAGGCGTCCGTGCTGCGCGGGGCGGGTTGGCGGACAACCAGCGCGCAGCGGGTAGGCTCAGCGACTTAGACGCGGTGGCCTGAGGCGCAAGCGTGGACAGGGTATTGAGCGGGCCGTATCACGGGATGTAGAGATGCGGCAGGTGGGCCACATTTGACAGGATGCCAATCAACATGGCACACGTCAGCTTGCATGAAAGATGCAAGCTGACGTGTGCTGTGTTGTACCGCAAATGCCCCATTTGATCATCTGTGCCCCAAGTTCGCTCCGACGCCAAGCCGCCCGTTCTTGGCACAGGGAGAGGCCAGCATTTCAGCAAGACGCCACTCCAACTGCCGTCCGAAAAATCAGTGTCGAAGGTTTTTATGCACTGCGGCTCGCGGATGTGCCTGGCTTGCTCTAGTCACGACCAGTTCGTGGTGCCAATGTCAATACACAATGGCGCCACGCACAACGCCTTGACGCTGACGTCCGAGGGCCACTGGCCGGAACTCAAAAGCGACTATACCAGCAGGCAGCTTCTGACGCGGGCACACACGCAGGTGCTTGAAGGATCCACGCTTGTATTTGTGCGTCGGAAAAAAGTTGCATATCCTAGGATATGGAGGGCATATCCTAGGATATGGAAGGCATATCCTAGGATAGGGCCATATCCTGGATATACATATCCAGGATATGCAACTTTTTTCTGACGGTTGTCCTGGCTCCATAAAATAAGCATGAAGACAGATGCGATTTGCTCTGATTGCTGTTCTGCCAGGACTCTCCCGGCGTGTCCAACTTCTCTTTTCTCTTTCTTGAGACTGAGCATTCTTTTAGATTCGGAAAATTTTGGGGTGTTAAAACCATGCCCAGCATCTTCCACTAAATCAGAGGTCATCGGAGATAACGCAATGAAAGCCAAGAACTTGGGCTAGGACTTTGATGACCGCTGCGTCCTGTGGGACTTACATGCCTTGCCCTTTAGTACGTGCTCTCACCCACACTGTATCAAAATGCGGTAAAACACACCAGGGCAACGCCCATGTCACCCTGACCGGTGCTCCATATCACGCTTTCAGTAATTCATCGACCATTCGTCCTCCTATCAACCTCCTTATCAAAGTTCTGGTGGCAAGTTGCCACCAAGTTGCCACTGGCAACACGTTCATCATGGCAGAGTGACCGGCGCTGGCCACTCTCCAAATGACCCGCGACCACTTCGTTATGCGCATTTCCCGTTCGCCTTCATTGGCCTTGACGCCCCATCATGATTGGCACCCGCCACGATCATCGCAGCACAACGATTCCAAAACTCAAAGTCCATGCAATCCGACACTGTGCATAATACCCACAGCAGGATCCGAGAGAGGGAAAACGGACATCATCAGAGCCCCTAGATTCACGCTGTAATGTGAGGTCTGCAAGGTCGGCTCTGAATGGCCGACTCCACATGTCCCCGCCGGCGAGTCCAAGCGACAGTCAGACAAAAGACAAATTCCTACACATCCCCAGGACTTGCCTTTCTCGGCCTTTGCCCCACTGGGGTGGACAGAGCCGTATTTGCATCTGGCGGTCTCAACACGCCGTGCCCGCCTCTCATGACGCGTTCACGTGAACATTTAAGCCGAATGTCCGCCTGTAATTCCCCCATCACTTCACACCCTGCGTCACTTCGCATCGCATCCTATGACTCACCACGCTGCGCCCAGCGTTCCATGCTACCTGCCCATCAAATCCGCACCAAAAACCAGCCTTATGTAATGCCTAAATAGGTGCCGTGCCACAGATACCGGGCGCCGGCGATGGCCGTGATGGCCGCGGGCGCCGTCCTTAATAACGCACAAGAAAACGACGCCATCACAAACCCCGTCCCATACAGACTTGGGGCAGATGGCCAGCACCCTCATTCGGTGACCAAGACGAAAAAATGATCTACGAATGTTGGCCATTTTATTGGAGCTCGAACAGGAGCTTTACATCTCTTTGCACTCTCTTGCTCAGTGGCACGACGCCCACATATCCTATGATAGTACAGGAGGCAT